CTGCTGAAGCAGTCATGTATTTTCATCCAGCTTGGGTGTCTCTCACACAAAGACTGGCTTTGGCGGGACAGCTAATGGGTGTGTACCATTTCCTAGCAACATCGTTTTCAGCACCACGCTCTATCACATTGCAAGGTGGAAAGTTTGTGTTGAAGAAATTTGGGCAATATGTGCTGGTGAGTATATTTTGCTACAGAATATTAAATTTCTATTGAAAAATCTGTTATTTTCTCATAAATTGTTTATGCTGGTTTGCTTTAGGCAGTGGGGACTGATAGAAACATACATGATTGGATACTTGAGAGACGTGCCAACACTCTGGAATCATTGTTGAAATTTTTTCACTGCGATCTCGTAAAGATACTAGAATCCCTCAATAATGATCGCAACAGATTCACTGAAAAGTTGTATCAAATGTTTGAGACATATCTGCCAATTCTTCAACACAGTGCCAATTTATTTTCCAGCATTCCTGTAATTAAACTTCCAAAGGTTAGTGCAGACGATATAAAGTAGTACAACAAAAGTAGTATACAAAAGTGTGAACATAAAAATAAGTATAAATTTATATATATATGTATATATTATGTTTCACATAGAGTGCTAGCAACATATTTCTGGAAGGGATGCAAATGTTGCAACATTATCAAGAGATAAACGGCGTTTTGGGAGGAGCATTATTCTATAATAACAAGTAATGAAACATACATTTATATAAGTTAAATTTGCACAGATATTGTCTTTAAATATTAATGTTAACTATTATTATGTATTTAAAATATTGCCAATTGTTATTTATTAATTATTTGCTTTATCTTCTTTAATTTACCTTATTCATATTTTTTTTCTTTCAGGATAGTCTCAACACAACTAGGAGCAGACTTAACAAAACAAATTGTCATAACTGATCCTTATAGGATAAAGGTACTTTCCATTATTAATTAAATTTATCTGAATATAAATGTAATTGATCGAATAGAATGATAATTTTGCGCATATTAGCTTTTATCATTATCGAACTTACCAAGAAAAAACACCAAATTTTTAAAGGCTCCTGCGGAAAGGATATCTACAGAATTTCATTTGCCGATCGGTGTTCAATTGTTACAAGTGTACATAGAGCGAAAGCAGTTTGCGAAACTAATGCAAGAGGCGAATAACGAGCGATATTATAATTCATGTTTGGACACCATGACTAAGAAGATATTGCATAGAAAGGTAAGTAGATGTAACAGCAAGACAAATGCATAAAATTTAATTAGATATCATGGTTTTTTGATTAAAGCGATGTAATCGTCACTTTATGAATGCTCAATTCGATGAATTTTCAGAACGTGTCTAAGAGCGGCCTCAAGGAACCGCTCATCATGTCCGCCATGAAGCGGGATACTTCGCGAATATTCACCGTCCCCGAGGAAGGCGAGCTAGATCCCGCGAATTATCCGCCGGCGCTGCAATACGTGTCATCGGTACCGCTTGCGATCAATCATGAATCGCCGATCAGACGCAAGCAAGAGATCAAACCAGAGCGTCCCAAGATTAGCGGTACCGTTGTCAATCCGCTCACGCCCAGCGTCTGCGCGACGCCGTTAAAGGATGTAGATCGAGTGTTGCACGGAAATGCCATGCTCATCTGCTCATCCGAGAGCGGCGGCGAGACTGACGAACATCGAAGCTCGTCGAAAAGCAACGACGACGATGATATTCCTGATGTCGTCAAAGAAGCGCTCAGGTACATGTTTATTTCTATACCATCTTTAGAAATTTCTATTTTTATAGAACGGGAATTTATGCGTTTTGAAAACACTGGAAAGCTTTAAAAAATATCCGATTTTAGATAGTAATTCAATTTTTATCGTATAACAGATGCAAACGTCTGAATAAACTGAAAAACGCTACCTCGAAGAAAAAACTGATGAAGAGAAAGGATCCCGACCGGAAGAGTATAAGTTTGCCGGACCTGACATCATCAGTTAAACCGCGCTTGAATAGTATTCCTAGAACTTATCGACCGGAGCTGGACAAAATGTAATTGAATAATAGTCTGAATGCTATATACAACTTTTACTATTTATTTTCTTTTTTTATTAAATTCTATTACTATAACAGATTGTGCAAATTCAACGAAGCTTCACCGGATGACTGCGATCCGAATTCACCCCGGCGGAAGCTCACCGGAAACGATAAGCGATACTCGCGCACCATAACTGATCCCTGTTATCCCGTCTTTCGATGCGACGGTCTCCCGGTATCGCAATCATTGTACGAGCAATACATCGCTTCGCACTGCGAGGAACTGCGCGATGACGGTGGAGACAATGGTATTCACGGGCGTTGCAATGACAATGACAATCTGCAATCGAGGAATCTATCGAGCAACTTGATGAGCGCAAAATTGTCGATAAATAGCAGCTCGAGCTCGATCACAAGAGATGCTGGCGAAGGTACGTGATTTTAATTGCAAAGATTAAAGTATTTCGAAGATTTAAAGTATTTCGAAAAAACTATAAAAGATTTAAAAAAAAATAATACATCGAGTAGAAAAATCTTCAACGTAATTAATAATTCAAACATGTTTATTTTAAATGTAAATGTTTAGAACGCAAACCTGGCTATGACAAAAGCAAACAGGAGACATACAAGAGATCGATGAGTCTACCGCTGAAGCCGCTCAACGTTGTCGCCGAGGTGCAAAACGGCGACGATCGGCGAAAATCGACGTCAGAATGTGGCGGCAACTCGTATGATTTCCCGCAGAGGCGGAAGCTGGACGGTCTACAATTAACACCGCTGATGTCGAAGCTGAGCTTGTTGGCAGACGAACGAACCAGCGGCTTTTGCAGTCGCGATACCACGCCAAGCGAATTTCGCGATCTTTCCGGATTTTCTGGCGGTGCAGCCACAACTATCACCACAACAACGACAATGAATCATTTGATGAGACAGAAACTGGAATCGGTCGAAAAGGAGGCCAGCGAGGGCGAAGATGAGCTGGACGAGGACTGGGTCAACAAGGACGATCCTGCCGTCTGCCTCGAGAAGACCGAACTTTTCCTATGTGGCTATCAAAATATGGTGTTGGTGCTATTAATGGAAAATGGTACTGCGAACAATCCGGATTTAATACATGCTTTGGTAAGTGTGAAAATTGCACATATTACGAAATTTATTAGATTTAGGGATGAAAAACCTGAATTGGCACTTTCTTAAAGAGTAAAGCAATAAAGATGAAAATATGTGAAAAGAATACTTTTAATAAATAATAATATAATAGAAATAAAATTTATAATAACAAAATAATAAAATATGAGAAACAAACGCGCTTCAAATGTTCTCTCACTTACATCGATATTATATATATATATATATATATATATAAATATATAAAGATATGACTGTAAGAATAATAAATCGTTTGATACAGTGGCATACCTGCGTGAGCACATTGGGTAAGCTCGAATTGCGGTTGCAGCAGTGTCTGGAACCATTGCCATCAACAGAAAACAAGGAACTGTACAGTATTCTAAATGTAAACCCACAATGGGACACGGTGCAACGTTCCGGACTCTGGGGCGTTACCGAGTTGGACATCGTGTCTTGTCTCCATGACAGATTTATGCAAGCGAGTAATTTGACGGACATCATCGTCAGGTAATCATATATGGCATCAAATTTTCGCGAATAAAAATAGACCAAATTTAATTTTTTTTTATTTTACATTATCTAATTCATATTAGATTTTCAAGACATTCATCTTTGATATATCCGTCTTTTTTCGATTCATGAATCAGTTCTAGTTGTGTGAAATGTTCTTGTAAAACAAATGTCTTTTAATAAGGTTTTACGAAATATTAGCTAATTTTTTTGAAATAATAAATTTATAAATCAAAAATTTAATAATTCATATATATATAGTTTGGTAGCAAGTGAACATATTAAAAAAGTCTATGACTGTAGAGGGAGATTGTATTTACCATAATCTAATTATGGAATGCTTCGTGATTAAGAAAAAATATATTTATTGAACAGAACGGAGGATATGGTGGTTTACGGTAATCAGTGTGGAGGAATGGAAGTGTTTTACCAGCAAGCGGTAGCGCCGAGCGCTTTTGCGGTTCTTCCGACCCCGGCGGATTTGATGGGAATCGTGGCACTCAAGGCAAGACGCCGATTAGAAAGAGATCACGGGATCGTGCTACTGTAAATCCAAGAACGTATATCGCTTCCCCTTTTTAGGAAAAGTGAGAAAAGTAATACACATACACACACACACTCGCATTTACAATTTCGCTTATTTGTCCTCTGCACAGAAAACGATGAGTTCAAATCCAGTTCGTATTCTGTACAAAGCAAAAAGAATCGAAGACATTCCGTCAGTCAAATCAAGGTGAGATAATATTTCAACAGGATATGCTGAACATTTTTCTACTAATATTTTTGTATAATCTGTGATTTTCCAACGTATCAAATATGTAATTCCAAGAAAATTGGCTATGAGAGGAAGAGAATAATCGAAGAAGTTTTTTTATATCGCTGCAATGTACTTATAGTATTCCTGTCATGTACTGCACGAGTCGAGAAATTTTCTACGATAGTAATAATTGTCGACCATCCAATTTGTATTTTACCATTTCATTAATTGTGCAGATATAGCGAATGTTATTTGTATTATATATGTTATTGTATATAAGATGTCTTCTATATAAGATGAATCAACGGGCAGTATAGATGCACAGCGTTATCGCTGTTAAAACTGGAAGGCAATTTTTAATACTTTTTTTTATTAACGAATATGCATTCTGAGAGATTTTAATAGCTATATAAATCATTAAAAAACAAAAGTTTCTCAGAATCAGAGAATTAGAGTAAAAAGCTTTAGAAATAAAGATAAATAATATTATATTATCATATGATTCAATTCCAAGTTTTACTTCGCAAGAAATAACGCTTTATATATATATATATATCTTCATTGTCCATCAATTCTCGAACATCTTATATATAATTGATTCATTGTACATATCTGTATGCATAATAAGCCATTAAGTTATTTGCACTTTAATCGATAAGTGTCCAGTTTTGCTAGAGCGCAAATAGAGTTGAAAATATATCTGCGAGAGGAGAAAGACGGAGGTCAGTATTCAGTTAACACGCTGCGTCCAGTATTTATAGTCGTCCGAACTGCTTCTGTAGATAGAAAAAAAAAAAAACAATAGTAATATTTATAAAACTCGTCAGAATCGTCTGAATTGGCAATGTCAATTTTAAATTGTAATGTAAGAATATTTTATGCATTTTTTTTTTTTCCGCGATGTTATCGGCGTCTCGATGCTAAATCCGTTTTCGTCTCGCGATATTTGGATAAAAATTCATGATCTCGCGCAATAATCATCCGCGAAACGAGTTTTTAACAACAATGATATGCGAATAATGCGCTATGTCCAAATTTTTATATTGCGGTTTAAACATTATGTTAATATATTGCATTTTTAGCGAGCAAAGTTGCAAATCGCATGCGTCACCGCATGCATTCCACGGTGATCTTATCTTTATATTTGATAGTTTTCCTTGTCTTTTATTTGAGAGAGGAAAACTATAATAAAGCGATTCATCGTTTTTCAAGTCTTTTTCCTAAATTTATATTTTCCATTGCATCCTATAATCCTTCATACAATAATGTTATTAGTTTGACATTATTAATGTACATATGTTACTAAAGTTATATTGAGCTCTATATATATAATACACACACACACATATATATATATATATATATATATATATATATATATATATATATATATATATTGTAATGTAATGCATAACGTAGATAACGTAAAATTGGAAAAAATATAGAATTATAATTATTTTTAAATTTTATATTTATAATTTAATTTATGTAATATTGATCGTACAAAATTTATCTAGATTTTAATGACATTTATAACATAAACGCTATATTTACCGTAATCATCGCGTTAATATAATGCATCATTGAAGTTTATAACGTAAACAGCAGAAAAGATATATTCCGATCTAATATTACGTAGTACAAATGCATAAATGCATTAGAAGGTGTGTACACGGAAAGACTGCATTCTAATGACAGACGGCATAAATATGTTTGTGATGTGTAGAGAAAGATATATCACACGGAAAAATTATTTCAATATGCTTAAGGTAACAAGTATTAACTATGGAATTTGAATTTTTTTCAAATTCTTCGAAACAGACGATATCGAGGAATTAAAAAAAAAATGCATTATAGTATTTTTTATGTAAATATACAGGAAATCAATGCTTCCTTTAATCTGTTTTATATATCCATCTTTAAAGTTATAGTGCAATGTTGTTTGAAATTTCACGTTTCTCTCTTTCCGTTTCCGCAAATTTATCTTAACGTGAAAAATCCTGAATTATTTTATCAAAATCGGGATATATTTCTACTAATATTTGATTAGTCGAAACATGTTTATCTTACAAGAGCGTTTCGTAAAAATGAAACTTTCGTTATTCATATGCAACGACGCAATACCATTAGACTTTCAAAAAACCTGTTTACATGTCCTAGGATTCTTAATCGGAAAACTATGATCAGCGTCATTAGGAAGGCGAGCCCACTTAGCGCGCACGAATATCATTCGAGTGTATGTCGCAGTTTTATGACACACTCAATTAAAAAAAAAAAAAAAAACCTGTTATCGTCGCTGATCTGATTTATGGACCAGAAAGAACTTGGAGCAAACAAGCCTCCGCTATAGACCAATCGCGTGACAACGCGGGTTCTGCCGTTCGTCCACAGGTCCGATATTTAAAGCGGAACTCGATACGCGGCCCGCGATAATCACGGAATCACCGTCACCATCAGGAGATTCCTTTTACCGTTTTCCTCGATTTCAAGAAGACATCATGGTAAGATCAGAAGAATTATTTTTTTCAACTTCATTTATAATTATTGTGATTAAATAAAATGTACAATTTTGATTGTTCGATACATGTAATTGTATAATAATTATGTACTTATACGAAGAGATAAACATTTCTGATCCTCTATTCTATGATATACTTTGAAGAAAAATAAATTATAATTATTATATTTTTCTTCTAAAATCGTTATTTGTTTAATATTTATATGTTCACATCTCTTGTGCTTGTTTCCAGACTACCTATATCGATAAAGGTCCTCAGGTAAGCTTATAAGAAAATGTCGCCTCGTTTGAAATTCTGTTACGTATATGTGACGCGAGGTCTGTATTTTTCAGCCCGTTGGAGGAAAGTTCCTCAGTTTCGACCACATAAGATTCTGGGTCGGAAATGCAAAGCAGGTAGATTCTCATATATAAGATATATCTTGATATATATAAGAAATAGGTGCTATAAGAACAAAAAGATTCAGGCTCCGAAAATATAACAAAAATTCATATAGATGTACATTCAATAAAATTTTTTCCCGAGTTAAGGCTGGTTTATGCAGGCCGTAACTGTTAATTTGTAGCATTGTAATCCTAGTGTTAAACTTTAACGGTTCCGGCATAAATTAACAGTTACGGCCTGCATAATTCAGCCTTTACAGCTCCTCCCTTTTGAATTTCATCTATATATCATACTAGACATACGAATGCTTACACGAATTTTTTCTTATTGTTTTCTTGCCATCGATCCATCTCTACGGTATTTCTCACATATCAAGAAACTGAAAAAAAAGTTTCGTATAAAATACATTATAATAATTATATATATATTATACGTACACAATAGATTATATACATACAAATTGTCCATTGCTTACAGGCCGCCAGTTTCTATCGATGCAGGATGGGATTCGAACCGTTGGGATATCGTGGCTTGGAAACTGGTTCCAGACAAACAGCGACGCACGTCGTGAAACAGAACAAAGTGAGTAACTTTAAATGCAAACAAAAAAATAGAGTATAATCTTAGCATTCAACAAGTTTACCTTATTTTAATGATTTATGACTTATTTAAGGGACAAGTGTTCCGTTCGAAACGTTAATCTCTTCCGGCGCATAGAGTCTTCTAATCACTCAAATCGTATTCGTAGATCGTATTCGTGTTCGAGTCTCCGTACGAGCCTAACAATGAAGAAATGTCGAAACATCTCTCCCGACACGGGGATGGCGTGCGGGATGTGGCGTTCAGCGTCGAAGACATCGACACGATTGTGAAGGTAAAAGATTAAAATAAAATTTTCTCTGTGTGAGCAGAATTTTCATATTGTAAGATAAAATACTTCTTTCTGGAATTGGAAAAAATCGAGAAGTAAAAAAAAAACGTCACTTTAATCCTACCAAACAAAATTATTGTTATAGTTATTTTTAGCATATTTTATATAATTATCTTTCTCTTTTAATCGCCTTATCAATTAATATTGTATAGGTAGCCAAAGGGAAAGGCGCGAAAATAGTGCGCGATATATGGGAGGAAAGTGACGAGTACGGCACCGTGAGGATGGTTACTATTAGAACCGTAAGTGTTAAAAAAAATGTGTGTAATACTATTAAAGAACCATATACATTTTCTACATGTTCATTGATTCGATTCATCATTTTTATCACAGTACGGCGACACGCTCCACACGCTCATCGACAGGACAAAGTACAGGGGCTTCTTTCTGCCGGGTTTTGTGAGGACATCGGAAGATGTTCTTCTCAAACAATTGTACGTATGCAAAAGCGCAAAATCTGGCATAGAAATAAAACTAGAATTATACCACTTTATAAAAGATTCCAGAATATTTTAATAATAATATAGTTCACATAAAACAAAATTTCAAAGAATATCTCTTTTATTATATGTTCCAAGATATATCTGCGATATATTCTAGGAGTAATCTTTGCAATATACAAATGTAATATTTATAAAACATATTTATAAAACATGAACATGTTTATTCTCTAAATTATATCGACACATTTCTATCAATAACCGTAGGCCACAGACACATTTGAATTTTGTGGACCACGTGGTGGGTAATCAGCCCGACGAACAGATGGAACCCATTGCGAAATGGTATGCAAATGTATTTACTTTTAAACGTGTAAACACATTTATGCTAACAAGAAGTCATAACTCAGCACATAATCCTTTTTATTTTAGATAATAGTGATCATTAAAATATATTAATATAGTGAAATAATATACGTGATAGAATGCGTAAGATTTGTGATAAAATTCTCTAGATTTCATGAAAATCGTGTAAATCCTTTCAAAAGTAAAAAAAAATATCTTGTTTAGCTAAAAATAAAATATCAAATTAAACAATAAAGACTTTCTTTCTCTCTTTCTTTCTTAGGTACGAAGATTGTTTGCAGTTTCACAGATTCTGGTCGGTGGACGATACACAGCTGCACACGGAATATTCCGCGCTGCGATCTATTGTAATGACAAATTGGGAAGAGACGGTAAAGATGCCGATCAACGAGCCCGCTCCCGGAAAAAAACGCTCTCAGATCCAGGAGTACGTCGAATATTACGGCGGCGCCGGTGTACAGCACATAGCCCTTAACACGAGCGACATTATTACAGCAGTAAGTAATTGTTCTAAAAAAAAAAAAAATCCGCAAAAAAATCTCACCTATGCGCGTTTTGTGCGTAACGCGCATAAGCGAGATGAAATTGTGCAATACAGACCATGTTTATAAATATACTGGCAGTAAAGAAAATCTGTAATATACGTGACGTGAACTATAGATTTTTACTAGAAGTGTATGTCGGAATATAGCCATATATATAAGCAATTTAAAAAAAAAAAAAAAAAAAAAAATTTATTGCAGCTTATATTATTATATTGTTACATATTACTACGTTTTGCACAATTAAAAATTATATATATATAATTTTTATTAATAACAATAAATTTTTACCAATAATCGATCTTTTTCTTTATTGGATTAAGATATTTTCTAAAAAGATATGTCGCAGTTTATCACTTCATTTTGCAGATAACGAATCTGCGTGCCAGAGGAATGGAGTTTCTTAATGTGCCCGACAGTTATTACGAAATGCTCAGAAATCGTCTGGAAACCAGTGGCACGAAAATCGTTGAAGACTTGAGTATACTGCAGGTACTTTTATTGATAGTGGACTGAAACTGATACATTAAGTCGCAACGTGTTCTATTAATTCCATTATCGCTTTGCAGAAATTGAAGATACTAATCGATTACGACGAAAACGGCTATCTTCTACAAATATTCACGAAAAATATGCAAGACCGGCCGACGCTGTTCGTAGAAGTCATACAGAGGCGCAATCACAACGTATGTATCGAGAAAGATATGTAAAGCACCTAATATTTTACGTCTCTGAATCTATAAAACTTTTTGTATAATATCTACATTTGGAAGAAATTGGTTAATATTTAAATAATTGAAAATTCATTGTATTATTACTCCGTTTTAGGGTTTTGGCGCTGGCAACTTCCAAGCATTGTTTGAAGCTATCGAATTGGAGCAGGCGAAACGTGGAAATTTATAGAATATTAATATTATTAATATATTTGTGTAGAATTATATATATAATATTATAAAACCTTTATTTCTCTCTTTCAGCAAGTAATACTAGAAATGGGCGAAAAAATGAGTATTTTCGGTACTTAATTATATAGCTACTCTTATAATTTTCTATAATGAAATATCACATTAAAAATGTATTATGCTAATTCTCCGCTTCAAAATTCATTCGGCACGGTCACATCACCTAAATATCCTACTGCGTATCATCAATGATAATAATTCGCACACATCACAATAAAGCTGTGTGTTTTGTCGTGATCGACAAAAATGTCAAGGTTTTACTTTTTCGCGTTTGTGGAATAGATAATCAATTTGTCCGATTAATTCCGTACTCTTGTATATTTAATGGCCAACATTTTTGTATTACAAAAATACACAGCATTAAATGTAAAATATGTTACAATACATTTTGAAGCGTAGTAATGCAAATATATTACCTGCCGTCAAAAATTAAACTCTCTCGATCAATGAGATATCTATGCGTATGTATGTATGTATATGTGTTGTGTATGTATGCGTGTTGTGCTATTATATATAACTAAGAAATATAAATTTGTTTTTTGAGACAACGTACTCTCTTATAAAGAAAAGCGATGCAATTATTTAAACTGTGTGTTATCTGGATGTTTCCTGATTTCTGTTCTTTTCTGGGTTTTTTTTGTGGCCAAGATATATGCGGAAAGATATTCTTCATATAAAACTCGCGATATTATCTAAAAAGAATGGGGATAGGTATGTGATCGTGATGATAGAGGGTTATCGATGAGATTAGGTGGCTCACTTATTAGCTCGCGATCTCCAGGATCTCCGTCGCTCGGCAATCCGCCTGTCGATCACACACTTGTCGCGGAAACCAGCCCGATCATCCTCGTTCATGCCGAATCATGAATGCCAAGGCGAAACATATCGTGCTGACAATAGTATGAATTTCCCATCGGCTTCAACACAAAACATTGTGAGAAGGCGTGCGGTGGATCCTCGTCTGCCTGTAATTAAAAACGTAAATTTTTATATTATTTTATATATACATATAAAGATAAATATTGCGAAACATATAATGATAAAATAATATTAATGTTAATGCTGATTAGTTCTTTTTGCAGTAATATTAAATACAATATAATTGAGTTAAAGATGTAAAAATAACGTAGATCTTCAAATATTAATATGTAAATTATTGCAGTCCAGTCATTGCAGTTCCAATTTGTTCAGCAATTTAATCTTATACTATGTTAAGCCATCTTCTTTCTAACAGTTAGATTAGTGGTCTCAGATCTATACAATTGCGAATAAATAAAAGAGCCAGCTTGTGGTCTATAGGTCACATATCTGAGATCTCCAAAAATTAAATAGACATTTTTCATGCAAATCTATACACTTTTTGAAGCACACAAAAAAAAAAAAAAANNNAAAATAAAATCGTGTAGTGTTATTATATAACGTAATTATTTTAGATTGAATAATGTATTATTTTTTTAATTAAGAAATATTGATTAAAATTAAGTGCTAGAAAATATAATATCTGTGTCTATTGAAGAATATAAAAGTATGGGAACAACATTAATAAAAAAATTAAAAAACAAAAATTTTATAATTAAAAGTTGTAAAATAAATAAAATTACTTTAGGTTATTACAATTAATAATCGTAACTATGTAATGCAGATTTTTATTACAGTGTAAGGATATCTTATGGACATGATTGCAGCTGCGTGCTAAACCAGGATAAAAGCCATGTATAAGGAACAAGTATAAAATAGTGTAAATAATAAAAAAATTGGTTAGCAGAATGTGTACATCTTAACATTTGCAACAGCAGCCAATTCATGTGTACATAATGCGGAAAAGCAATCTCTGCAAGACGCTTGCGATGGGAAATATCGGGCAAAGCTTGCCTGTCATCGCAATACGCAGAGCAACGGAAGAGATTTTGCGGTACCTGATGCCTAAACCGTGTCGTGTAATGCGAGTCTGAAGATGTCGTGCTGCACGAAAAAGCTGGTACCAATCGGCTTCAGGACAAATGTCTGGATGTACGCATGAGGCTGATCCTCGTCAGTCTGCCCGATCACCAACAATAATCATTGAATATTCTTTGGTAATTTGAAATAACTAAAAATCGCTTATAAAACTCATCTCTTTTTTGTTCTATTTTCAATGTTCCTTTTATCTGCATTTAATATCTATTTATTTATAGGTTGAATCAAAAATCACTGTTTCTTATAGAAGAAAATCCTACAATAACAAATTATATCTAGTACATCAAATTTTCTCTTTTCATAAAATTATATATGTATTAAAATCAAGCTTGCAGAAATATTAAAAATTGAAAACGCACGAGAATTAAATTACTGAACCGATTGGTTTAGACACAAATGTGACATGCCAAAATGTACAAGATTTTAATATGATTTTTTGCAATACTTAATATTTATTCCGTTGCACAAATAATTCTCTGAACTGCAAATACTTTGTTTTGCATCTCTTGCATTGGAGACAATCCTTGATAAGAAATCAAAGAATATTTGCCATTATAATTCTTTTCTCACCTGCAGCCTTCCTAATACATTAATGAGAACTCCGCCATCAAACATAGGTTGCGAATCAATCGCTGTTATTATCCGATTTATTTTTTGAAACGATAAACTCTGGAAAACAAGAAAAATAATTAATATACACTAGGATGATTAAATCAATTTATTTCATTTTGTATAAACTATGTTATATATAATAAGAATGGTGAAATAAAAAGATGGAAGAATTCCAAAATCAAAGTGGAAGGATTGAAAGCATGTATAAATGCAGATATAAGAGCGCAAAGTCTAAAGTATTTAAATTATAATAAGTAACATGTATGTTTTCAGTTTTATATTTACATTCTCTATCTGACTTATCTTCCTATTTTGGTTGGGGAAAGTTCCAAATCTTAATAATATTTTTAACTCAAAACAATATACACAATCTCACTATTTACAAATATATATATATATATAAATTAGTTACAGGGATAAGCTGACTCTCCTATACAAAAAAAAATCAGCAAGTAATCTACATCTGTGGAGCGGGAGAAGAGGTTGGGAGGGGAGAGAGAGAGAGGGGAGAAAATAAAATAATTGCAGATGACAAATAATTGCAGAAGCTCGGATCCCCGATGTAAGAGTGAACTTTATACTCACAGTTAATTTCTCCATAATTTTGATAGCTCCTTGTATCTGCATACCCTCGAACGTCATGAAGGACGTCTCCGTCTGCAAAAGGTTATGTCAGTCAGAGCGAGCGAGAGAGTGGAATATCAGTCGGTGAGCCCGGAACTGGCAGAGATCGGGCCTCCAACTTACGTTGTACATATTTATGAGGTTCGGTCTTTGTGCCGGGTCATCGAAGAGCGCGTAATATTGCTGAACGAAGCCCTTGCCGATCGCCTCGTACGGTATCGCCATGGTTGCGACCAGTGATCGTCTAGCAGAGGAACGAAAATAAAATGTTAAGAACGCCGATTATAACGCGCGGTTTCTTCTTTTTCCTCTTCTTCCTCGCCTGCTCCTCCTCCTCTTCCTCTGCTGATGCGACGTCCTGCCGACTTCGAGATCCTACGATCGTGAAACAGCGCCGTACAACAACCCTCGTGTCGAACGGTGCTCGAACGAGCAGGAAGTCTCTATCTTCGATATATCGAAGAGACCCCGCGAACGGTTCTCGAAGGAAGTTATGTGTATAAAGCCTGTATCAGATTACGCGTTGGTCAAATTTCAATCTTCAATCTCAATCTTCAATGCGTAGTCTGATACGGGCTTATCGGGGGCTATGAATTGAATAAGATTGAGAAATTTTATCAATCAGGATATAGAAATTTTAGCTCCTTTTTGTTTTTTAATTAGTCGAATTCAAATCTTCAATCATTTCAATGATAGATTTTAATTAAGATTAATTATTTAATTATTTAATTACTATTCGTATTTAAGTTGCACTTTCTACACTTTCTGTCCTTTATTCCTTCTTTCCTTGTTGCTCTCTGCAAAGAAAAAAATGCGATCTTTCGCGAAAAATTGCATCGAACATTTTAGTTTTACCGGCCGTTTTACCGTGGCATCGAAAAGTTAATTAGCCATACAGTTCCACCGGCTCTAAAATGAATCCAGTTGGCGCTACTGTACCAGTTAGAAAAAGCGTTTTACGAAAAACGGTGGCATGCCCCCCTTCAGGCTTCTCTCTGTTATTATATTATAATATTACATTTTTAATAGAATTTTATCTAAAATTAGAGAGAGAGAGAGAGATTCATTTTATTTTTTTTCTTTTACTATGCTTTTATGTATATATATATATACATATATGTTCTGTGATAATTCAGTTTTCGAATCGCTCGCCATTTCTTGGATCTTTTCTCGACTCAAAACAAATTCGATTCTGACTAGGATAATCGATACGTTGAAATTATTAGATTCTTATCGATTACATTAAGTTTCTCGATAATATCTTGGTCGATTTTTATTGATCGATGATCTTATTTTTTGAATAAATATAGATTCACGTATCTATTTCTGCACTTGCGCTTCTTTCTTTTAAATCGAATCACAAAACACAATGTACACAGCGTTTTTATATAAGGGTATATATTTAAATTTTTACAACAATTCTCTCTTACTGTCATTTTATCACAGATATTATCACAGATATATATTATTTTTAGATAATAACAATTGTCACTACATTTTAAAATACATCACTCATTCTTTCACGAACCATTCTGTTATGGGAAGTGCTTATCTTTTAATGTTAAAATTATTTAATGAAATATATTTATACTATGTTATCAGCATAATCATTGCAATAATCATTGCGGCAGAGAAATTATTGGTGATGCAGAAATTGCCAACATTGTAAAACAGTTGATCTGATTTGGAAAAATCACATTACATATTTTATTGCCTTCAATACCCGATATGTATATACGTATAATAAAATGCTAGTGTGTATTATTGTATAATAATAAAAATGTATTATTGCATAATAATAAAAATAACTTTATGCGTGCGCGTGTGCGTTACAAAATGTAAAGTAACAGCGAAAGCGATTGTATTCGATACCCGATATACGTAATAAAATGCCTGTGTGTATTATTGTATAATAATAAAAATGATCGTGTGTGTGAGTGTGCACAAAATATAGTATAACAGCGAAAGCGATTGCGTCCGATATCCGGCGATATATGCGTAATAAAATGCCTGTGTGTGTGTGTGTTTACAAAATGTAGTATGACAGCGAAAGCGATTGCGTTCGATATCCGATATATGTATAATATGTAATAAAATGTCTGTGTATTATTGTACATAGTACATATAATAATGAAAAATGACTGCGTGTGACTGTGTGCGCAAAACGAATTAAGTTATTAACAATGCGAGCAATTGCGTCCGATATACCTATTATGTATATATATAAAATAAAAGAATCGATAATAATCTGTAAAATATATTTTGTAATTTTTAAAAATATCTAATAAACTATATTAATAATACAAAACGCATATGTCTTCTTATTGAACATACCCATCCATTCCCACACATCTTATCGTGCCACATACATCTCTTTTTTAATTATATATTTTGATACATTTTTGCCGATTTTTCGTTCTTGGAATTTCTGAAACTGCATTTCTTGGAATTAAGTATCAAAAAAATATAATCAGCAAAGAGATAGCACAAACCATAGTTTTAAGAAGCGCGGGAAATTAAACTTTCGAAATTCGCAAAAGTATCAGGAGAACATGATCAGCAAAGAGGTAGCAGCGTAGCAGCATAAAATAAAATTTCAAGAAGTGCAAAAATTTATTGAAGTTTTGAAATCCGCAAAAGTATCAGGAGAAAAAATATCTAATAAACTATATTAATAATACAAAACGCATATGTCTTCTTATTGAACATACCCATCCATTCCCACACATCTTATCGTGCCACATACATCTCTTTTTTAATTATATATTTTGATACATTTTTGCCGATTTTTCGTTCTTGGAATTTCTGAAACTGCATTTCTTGGAATTAAGTATCAAAAAAATATAATCAGCAAAGAGATAGCACAAACCATAGTTTTAAGAAGCGCGGGAAATTAAACTTTCGAAATTCGCAAAAGTATCAGGAGAACATGATTAGCAAAGAGGTAGAGGTAACAGCATAAAGTAAAATTTCAAGAAGTGCGAAAATTTAAAGTTTCGAAATTCGCAAAAGTATCAGGAGAACATGATTAGCAAAGAGGTAGAGGTAACAGCATAAAGTAAAATTTCAAGAAGTGCGAAAATTTGAAGTTTCAAAATTCGCAAAAGTATCAGGAGAACATGATCAGCAAAGAGGTAGCAGCATAAAGTAAAATTTAAAATTTTAAGAAGTGCGAAAATTTGAAGTTTCAAAATCCGCAAAAGTATCAGGAGAACATGATTAGCAAAGAGGTAGAGGTAACAGCATAAAGTAAAATTTCAAGAAGTGCGAAAATTTAAAGTTTCGAAATTCGCAAAAGTATCAGGAGAACATAATCAGCAAAGAAGTAGAGGTAGCAGCATAAAGTAAGATTTCAAAAAGTGCGAAAATTTGAAGTTTCGAAATTCGCAAAAATATCAGGAGAACATATCAACAAGAAGATGGCACATACCAAAATTTCAAAAAGCGAAAATTTGAAGCTTTGAGATCCGCAAAAGTATCAGGAGAACATGATCAGCAAAGAGATTACACAAAGTTAAATTACAGAAAGCGGAAAATTTAAAGCTTCGAAATTCGCACAAGTATCAGGAGAACATGATAAGCAAAGAGATCGCACGAAGTTAAATTACAGAAAGCGAAAAATTTAAAGCTTCGAAATCCCCACAAGTATCAGAAGAACATGACAAGCAAAGAGTTCGCATAAAGTTAAATTACAGAAAGCGGAAAATTTGAAGCTTCGAAATTCGCAAAAGTATCAGGAGAACATGATAAGCAAAGAGATCGCACGAAGTTAAATTACAGAAAGCGGAAAATTTAAAGCTTAGAAATTCGCACAAGTATCAGGAGAACATGATAAGCAAAGAGATCGCACAAAGTTAAATTACAGAAAGCGGAAAATTTAAAGCTTAGAAATTCGCACAAGTATCAGGAGAACATGATAAGCAAAGAGGTGGCATATCAGGAGAACATATTAGCAAAAAGATGGCACAAACCAAAATTTTAAAAAGCGAAAATTTGAAGCTTTGAAATCCGCAAAAGTATCAGGAGAACATGATAAGCAAAGAGATCGCACGAAGTTAAATTCTTTGGCCTCCCGCCGATACTTACACATATTTAAATTTTAAGAGATCGGAAACATGATAGGCAAGAGAGGTAATACAAATAAAAACTTCAAATTTAACATTTTAAAAACTACAACTTTATTTTCTTTTCTTATTTACAGTATAGTATATTTAAAAATTAATTGTTTTTACAACTCATCTCTCAATTATCACAAATGATTGCTGTACAACTTATAAATATATAAGATGAAAAAATCCATATATATATATATATAAGATTTTATATATATAAATATATATAGAATATGCCTATATATTTATATACATGCAATATTACATAGAAATATTACTTGTCGCAATTTGAATTTAATGAGCGTTATTTTCGTCTAGTGTGTAAAAGGACGTTTTACCTTCGTCTCGTATGTACATACGTACATACATATTACAAATACTACATGCTTTCGTATCGCACAATCGTACGTAAGCACGAATAAATAAGATAATAGACCTCCCTCGCCACGAGCGCGCGCCCGCTCGCTCCTCGGATTTCATTTGCAGGCGTTCGACGATTGAAGATAATACGACTTAATTTCTGCAATGAGCGAGGCGCGCGCAAGTTACACTCCTGCGATGTGCGACATGTGTGCGCAGACATTTCAAAGAGAATTACAAATTGTATTGTTCATTGATGCAATTAAGATCGCATTCCTTTGAAAAGACACATTTCTGCGCAAAGTTAATTTTTTTTTTCTTTCAAAAATTGAATTGGTGAATTAGTTAATTTTTCTCTCTCTCTCTCTCTCTCTCTCCCTTCTTTCTTCTTTTTTGTTATCCTCCCTGTAATCAATAATTATGTTACGAAATGTTTTGTTTTTAGCTAGCTTATTTACATATGCTTGTAGTGCATCGGCAGTTGCGTGTATAGCGTTGATCGTTGCATAACCACGTGGCATTGCAACACCATTGTGCCATTAATGCCGAAGGCATTGTTACATCGCGTCTGTTTTCGCCTTGTGTATTGTGTGTATATGTGTGTGAGCATTCTTCGGGAGTTATAAAGATTGAAATTTTGAATAGAGTTCCATCGCGATGAGCGAGTCAGGCAAACGATGATAAAAAGAGCGATAAATTATTATTTTTTTCCTTTTTTTCGAAAGAAGCATATCTCTTGAGTGAAGTTTTCACGCATGTAAATTGACATGATCGGGTTAACAATACAGTGACATGAAACGAGAGTGGAAAGATAAGCCTCTCATTTAGGACGCTCTAGGAATATCAGTCTAATTGTACATTATAATAATCTATCTGGACCGTAAAAAATCGTTTTAACACACGAATATGCTTCTAGAATGTCGAAGCAATGTCTTTGAAAGCCATTCTGCTTGTTCACGAATCGATTGGTCGACTTTTAGGTCGGCAGGTA